TTTTAATCTATTTCATCAACTTGTAAAGACACAATTTGGACTAAATATTTTAGCTGTTTAGAGTGATTGGGGAGGTGAATATTGTCGTCTGTCTCGACTGCTTGCTGAAGCTGGCATCTCTCATCGTATTACTTATCTACACACCTCTGAATAGAACGGTGTCGTGGAACGTAAACATAGGCATGTTGTTGAGTTGGTGTTAGTCTTGCTTGCACAAACATCCATTTTCAACCAATTATTGGTTGTATGCAGTAGTTATGGACGTGCACTTGATAAACAGACTTCCTTCTAGGGTGTTAGCTAGACGTTCACCATTTGAGTGTATGTTCAAGAAGAAGCCCAATTATGAATCATTCAGAGTGTTTGGGTGTAGATGTTTTCCTCATCTCAGACCATTCAATGCTCATAAGCTTGATTTTCGATCTCAGCCATGTACGTTCATGGGTGTTAGCTCTCAACACAAAGGTTTTCTTTGTTTAACACCTGATAAGCGTGTTGTTATCTCTCGCCATGTGCAGTTTGATGAATGGAATTTTCCTTTTGCTACTGATAAGTCTACCAACTAGTCATCACTTGATATCTTTGAGCAGGTCTCTCGATATTGTAATGGACACGACTAAGCTGCAGTCAGATGATGGTTCTTTGACAGCCATTTCTCAGTTACCTGTAGATAATACGAGTCTCAGATCTACATATTCAGGGCCAGATAATGAATCTGCTGCTCTGTCTGACATTTCCAGTGTTAATTAAGAAGACCTTGAGGTTGCCATGGAAACTCAGACAATGCCTGTAGATAATACGGGGACTGCAGTCAGTAATGCTCATCCAATGCTGACCCCGTAGTAAACGTGACATGTTTAAGCCAAAGGTGTATACAACATTTTTTGATGATGTTGTACCAACCACAATTTGAGAAGCACTTCAGTCTGCTGCATGGATTGAAGCAGTACATGCTGAGTATTCAACGTTACTTGAGAATGAAACATGGGTGCTTGTGCCCTTTCCTGCTGATAGAAGTGTAGTAGGGTGCAAATGGATCTTTAAGCTCAAACAGAATCCTGATGGATATGTGCTTAGGTACAAAGCTCGACAAGTTGCAAAAGGGTTTTCACAAGTTCCTGGTATTGATTTTCAGAACATATTTAGTCCAGTTGTGAAATTCTCAACCGTTTATGTTCTTTTGACCATGGTTGTTGCTCGAGGCTGGGTCCTAAGGCAAGTTGATATTAATAATGCCTTCTTAAATGGTGATTTGTATGAGGATGTATATATGCAGCAACCACCAGGGTTTGAACAACTTGCTTCAGATGATACTCTATTGGTCTGTAAGTTGCAAAAGGCTCTTTATGGCCTCCGTCAAGCCCCACGTAATTGGAATGACAAACTTAAGGTCAGCATGTTAGACTTAGGGTTTGTTGAATCCAAGGCAGTCGTGTCACTTTTTGTTAGACTTTAAGACAATGAATGTACGTATGCATTAGTATATGTCGATGACATTATAATAACAGGCACATCTGCTGATGCTGTAAATCAGGTAATTTGCATGCTTAGTTCTCGCTTCTCCCTTAAAGATCTAGGTGAATTGTCCTATTTTCTGGGAATTAAGGTTAAGAAGCTTGCTTCTGGTTTAATGCTGAGTCACCAGGCTTATATTTCTGATTTGTTGAAGAAAGCTCATATGAGTCAAGCAATGCCTGTTTGCACTTCAATGGTTGCTGCTACAAAATCTGCTGATCAAAGCAATGCTCTTCTAGCTAATGCTCGAGAGTATCGCAACATTGTGGGAGCTCTCTTGTATATATGTCATACTCAACCAGACATAGCGTTCGCAGTCAATAAAGCGGCTCAGTTTATGCAGTCTCCATGTGAAATACACTTGGTAGCTGTCAAACGCATCATGCGTTATTTAGTAGGTACATTGGATTATGGGTTGGTGTTTTCGGACACTGATGCCAGACTATGTCTTAAAGCCTTTTCTGATGCAGATTAGGTTGGTGATACCACTTATCATAGGTCTATGTCTGGGTATTGTGTCTTCCTTGGAGGCTGTTTGGTTGTATGGAATTCCAAGAAACAGAAGACCGTCTCTCGATCGACGATGGAAGCTGAATACATAAGTGTTATTGATTCAATTGTTTAGATTACTTGGCTTGCTGCTTTACTACGTGGTCTTGGGTTGTCCTTGAGTGATGCACCTGTGATTTGGTGTGACAACACGAGTGTTGTTGCCTTGAGTATAAACACCGTGTGTCATGCTCGATCTAAGCATGTTGAATTGGATGTGCATTTTGTTCGAGAAAATATTGCAGCTGGTCATCTTCAGGTGAGTTATGTTCCTGCTGCGTTTCAAGTGGCTGATGGTCTCACCAAGCCACTCACTAGACCAGCGTTTGAGCAGTTTCGAGAAAAGCTATGTGTAGTATCTAGTTAAGGAATGGAATGAAAAGAAGCGGGGAGAATGTTGAGGTACATGAAGTAGCTGAGGGTGTTGTTCACGTGGTTTAGCAGTTAATGCATGACATACATGAAGAATCTGGATTATAACTAATTTGAATATGTGTCAAGGTTGTTAGGAATCTATTCTAGAAGTTGTAGGTTGTTAAATTTGTTATCAATCTGCTATAAGAGGTTAAGTTTAGGTGATGTATAATTGACATTTTTGTGAATGAAAAGTAATTCCATATTTCTATTTGTTTTCCAAGATTTGCTTACTGCAATGCTTTACATGCTGTTGGTCAATGTTAATCAAAGTAGAAGAAGAAGAAAGGAAATTAACTAAGAATATACTACTTGCCATTAAAAAATAAACTGCCGCAAAACGAGACCGGTATTGGCTGATGCATCTTCTCTTGTAACATTCATATTTTCCCTACATTCAAAAGGATTGATTTTTTAAAAAAAGTGCATATGGTGGGATGTTTGCAGGCATACCAATCGTTCACGACACAGTTCAAATGCTATAATCGGTGGCCGGTTCAAAGCTGGTGTCTCGTCAACTATTCCATCTTCACCATGAAATATTCCTACTGCTGTTTGCAGTGTTCTGCAACAATTCAACCCATCAAAACCATGGAAATTTGTAGGGTATTTTGCCTTTACAGATACTGAAAATTTTGGTACCATGACATGGGGGAGGTGATGACTACCTCAATCCCCTTAAGCAGACCACTGGCACAAACATCTTTTTGTTTTTGGCATACCTGCTAACATATTCAACCATCAAAACCATTAACATAATGGTTGAATATTCCATTTTCACCTGTAGCTTCTCATAACAACATGCATAAATCACCTGTTGCGAGCCCTGAGAGGTGAGTTGAGCGTCGAAAAACTCCAAGGAAGTTGATGGATCTCGATTCCTCTCTTGTTCTAGATTGTGCATTCCTTGTGCATGCCTCACCTGAACTTTCACATCAACACTAGTTATATAACATAGTTCTTTTGATAATAAAAGCTTCATAATTAAACAAGAAAAATGAAAATATATATTAAAGAAACTAGGGGCAAACCAGATGAACAAGTTTATGAGGGCCATGTTACTGGTATGGAAAGGGAGCTGATGAAATTGTTTCCATTTCTGCAAATCTACGAGGCAGAGGACGATGAAGGAAAAAAGATACACAAATTGCTTACACCTGTTAACCTATGTATTAGAAAATAATAAGCTTCTCTAGAAGGGAAAATATGATTGTTTTTCTAAGGGAAATCTCCCTGGAAAATGCACACAAGATTAATAAACAAGGAACTACCAAAAGAAAAGTGTAGCGGTTTTAATTTTTTTTTCAAACCCTAAAAGTTATAAATAATCAAACCAGATTTTGACAAAGAACATGTATATAATCTAAATAAAGATGATATATATATAATCAAACCACATATATATGTTGTTCAAAGATACAAAATCAGAAACTAAAGAACAAAAGCATGGGTTGTCTACCAGAAGCGTAGTACTAAACTGCGGTGTCACAGTTACAGTTATGGCTACGGTGTTATGCTTGCGAATTTATTTCTTAAAAATAATTAAAATGCGGTTTACGATGTTGTGGTAATCTTAAAATATATTACATGCGACCATTATACTATATTGTGGCTGCAAATTAATACTGTGACCAGAAGAGGACGTTGAGTGAAAGAAACATGTTAACGTTTATCAACAGCTTAAAGGCATGATTGTTGGATATATTTTATTCCTACAAAACAATATACATACGCTACATCAAAACAGGTATATAGCGGCATTTGTCATGGCGTTTATATCCAAAATGTCACAAAATAGTAACATTAACAGTGTTTTTTCATAAACGACGCTAAAACTCATACTTTAGCGGTGTTTATTTCACAAACGACGTTACATATAAGTACTTTAGTGGCGTTTTTAAACAAACGCCGCCAAAAAATCTACTTTAATAGTGTTTCTAAACAAACGCCGCAAAAGAATCATTCTTTAGTGGCATTTTTAAACAAACTCCGCAATAGGGTATATATATTGTGGCGTTTTTAGACAAACGCCTCTACAACCTAGTACTATAGTGGCGTTTCTAAACAAACACCGTAAAAAAATTGTTCTTTAGTAGCGTTTTTGAAACAAACGCCACAATAGTTTAGAACGTTTGTGGCATTTTTTAAAAAAACTCCGCAATATGCTGAACAGCTAGTGATGTTTTGTCTGAAAACGCCGTGATAGTTTGTTTTATAGTGGCGTTTGGTTTTAAAAAACGTCGCGAAGTTTTATAAATACCTAAATCTCAATCATTCAGCTCTCCTTTTGTTTCAAATAGATTTCCAATCCCTAACCCAGTACAACCACCGTAGCGCAGCCACCAATAGAAGCTAGCATCGTTGTCGTTTCACTCTTCTTGCCAATCACCATGTATGTCTTTCTTCTTTGCCGCACCCTACTTTTTTTCTATAACAATTGGCCAAACGAAAGTTGTGTGTTTTCTTTTGGGTGATGTCTCATCAGATGATGAAGCTCATGATGAACCAAGGGTTAAAAATAAATGACATGTGTATTGGATGAAAAGGCAGCTGCAACTCAAGCTCTTGGCTTATTTTCCCATAATACAAAAAGCTCCTTTGCTCTGTATCCTTGTATAATTTTGTTCATTTATTTTTTCTGATTGACTATTTTTCTTCTAATATTATCGGTTCTTTTTATCTGATAATAGTCTGGTTTTAGTCTCTTATCACAATTTACTTTTTATCAGGAAAACAATCATATTAGAAGCAAAGTTTCAAATCGCGGTCACGTTTTCGTTCATTTCAGGTTTACCGTGATTGTGACCGTCCAGATGTTATTGCGGGTGTAGTGGGTAACTTGGACGGCGACGAAACTGCTATTTCGCGAGCGTTATCACGTTTTCGGAGCGTGATTTAAAACCCTGATTAGAAGTTTGGCTTTGAGATTTTGAACCAAGCAACATGTTACGAATGATTTAGAACTGAAATATATTTTAGATTCTTTTGTGGTCCCAAGTGAAGTGTAAATTGCAATTAAAATTTGTAGTTTCCCCTCTACTGATTTCTTTAATTGTTTTAACCTATTTGGAGGAATCATTGAAGATTTTGGAGAGACATTCTGGGTATTTTCATGAAGATGTGAGGCTTCAAGCAATTATTGCTTTGAAACGCGGGTACCAACTAAAAGCTTTATGAAACTCCCAACATATATCATCCACATATTTGGTCATCATATATGGAAAAAATTTATTATTGTTGTACTTGATAGACACATTTTACCTATAAAGCCATTCTATACGTCAATTAATGTCTTCTGTTCTGAAAAGTGTTTGTTTTAGCCTCTGTCGCTCTACAATTCCTCCATTGTCTGCCAGATTAAATCTACTGCATTTTGATCTTGTACCAGTTTACTATCTGCATGAGTTGATTAGCACTTATCTCTTACATTCATGTATTCATCGTATCCAAATCTAACTGTTAAATTTCGTTGCTGATTGAAATTGCAGATATTTTGACAGCAGCACATGCAATCTTTCAGTGCCAGAATGTAAGTTATATTGGCTCCTTTCCTTTCCCTTCCCTTTTTTCATTGGCATCCATGGTGGTCTCTTCTCTTAATTTTTCCCATCTAGAGTGCAGGAAAAAGGTGTTCGAGCTGAGGAGTGGGTAAATTTTCTGGTTGCCAAGTTTTCCTCAAAATGATATATGCATATGCAATTTGAAGCAATAATTTTAGTTTCATGTAGTTCAAAATTTTACTCCGATGCAGGTAAAAATTTTACATGGTAAACTTGGCTAAATTTGAGAACAAATATTTATTTACTAATTACTCCCACTGCCATTCACGGATGCTTTTAATGAAGTTCTTCTAATAGACCAATAAACTGTTTATCTAGCTAGTTAGAGAGGAACCACACATGCACATTCTGACACATGTCCATTTTCATAGAATACTGTGTGCCAGAACTGTGACATATGCCAAGAGTTGAACAGTTGTTTATACACGGTGTGTTTGTTTACCGTAAAATCAATTACGAAATTGATTTTTTTCAAAATTTCGTGTTTGTTTCATGTAATTTGTTTTTTGAAAAATGTTTTTTCGTGTTTGTTTCACGTAATTCGTTTTTCGGAAAATATTTTTCCGTGTTTATTTCACGTAATTCGTTTTCCGGAACGTAATTCATTTTCCTAGTAACAAAATTTCCTTTGTATTTTCTGTAAAATGACTTACAAATTTAAAATAACTTACGGATTCATTTTTCGTAAGTCATTTTCCGAACTTTTCACTTCAAAGCAAAAATACTCAAAATAATTTTATTTTATGAATTTAATATTAATAAAATATTTTAATATCATTTTCATCAAAATATTAATTATTAAACTATTTAAAATATATTTATTAATATTTATAATAATATAATATTATATTTTTAGTTTAATAATATAATCAATTATATTATAATAATATAAGATATTATATTTTTATTTTATAATATATAATAATTTTTTATATATTAATAATGAATAATATTATTATATATTTAAAACATATACTAGTAAATATATTTAAAATATACTAATTAATATTTTTAAAATATAATATAACACTATTACTTTAATAAATAATTTATATTATTTATATTATTTTATTTCACTAAAATATACCAATATTAATATTTTTATTAATAAAATTATAAAAAAAATTAATAATAAATAAATTATTTTAATATTTTAAAATAATAATATTAAGTTTTATGAGAAATAATATTATTTATTATATTTAATATTTGTAATAAATAATTTTTAAAAAACTCTTCAACTAGTGGAAAAAAGGTTTAAATAACATCTTCCAAACATCATAAAACATTTTCCATATGTTTTCCAGAAATGTAATTCATTTTCCAGAATTCAAATTCCAGTAATTTATTTTCCAGTAATTCAAATTCCAGTAATTCATTTTCCGAAAAATCAATTACAGGCAAACAAACAGACCCTAAATTGTACATGTGCAGGGTGACACAGAGCGACTAGCGATGACCTTGTACTCTGCTGATATAAGTTCAGGGTGCGTTTGGTTCACGGAATGAAAGATTATCAGTGGAAATGTAAGATTATTAGGGAATAGGATTACTGGGAATATTGTATTTTGTGTTTGGTTGGCTTAGCAGGAATGTAAGATTACCTTATTTGGTTAAAGGAATAAAAAATTATTAGAATGTATATTTGATCAAATTGTCCTTATTATATATTTATTTTTTTAACAAGTTGAAAATATTTATATATTTTCTTTAAAAAAATAAATTCATAAAATTTATATATTTTTTTACAAAATTGAAAATATAAAAAGGTTTAATGAAAGGGTAAAATTTTATTTTAACCCCTGAACTTCATATAAAATTTTAATTATAGATTTTTTTTGTAAATCTAAAAAAAAATCTAAATTTTATTATTCAATGACAGAAAAATGATATTTAAAAAAAATTAAGGGCATTTTAGTCCAAAACGCTGAGAATCCAACAATATCTAAGGAAAGGGAGGTGATGACATTCCCGGTAATATACCCCAAAAAATCCACTATTGATAATCTTACATTACCGGGAATGAGATTCCCCTTAATGTTTTCGACTGTGCTGGATGGGTCTATGAAGGCAAGAGAAGTGCTAGGTATTAACTTAAAACTTTTTATTTCTAAGCTTTCCCTAGATTGCAATTGGTAATGTAGTTCTGACTAAGCTCGTTGATTTTGTAGATATGGTGATGAATATCTACATCAAGACTATGACTGAAGATGATGACAATGAAGTTGTTGCAAATGCGTGTATGAGCATAGCTGATGTTATCAAGGATTATGGTTATATGGTCTAGTGGGAATCTTTCGTGCTAAAATCTTTCAGATGAAGATAAAATATCTATTTTCAATTTCATTTTTGTAAGTAGTTAATGATGTTAAAATACATTTCATTTCACTTGAATGTTTGTAAATTTTGATTTATTTATGTCAACTATTTTTACTTAATCTAAGTCGTTTGTTTAATAAAATGCCACTAAATACATAGTAAATACCGACGTTTGTAAAACAAAACGCCACTAAAGTTCAAGATCTTTTGCGGTGCTTATATAGTAAATGCTACTATATATGTAGTCAATATCGACGTTTTATATTCACAAATGCCACTATATGTCAGAATATTTAGTTGAATTTTTTGGAACAAAAGCCACTAAAGATCATCACTTTTAGTGGTATTTGTAAAAAAAACCCGCTAAAGAGCATAACCTTTAGCAACATTTGACGTTCACAAATGCCACAAACTTTTTCGACGTTTGTTTTTGCGTCAGAAGGGTTTTTAGCTACGCTTAAAACACAACTATATGACTAAAAATGCCGCTAAAACTATTTAAAAATGACACACCAAAGAATAATTAGCAAAAGTTTAAAAATTCGAATGTAAAACACACCAAAGAAAATTAAAATCATAACCGCATGCACTCTAGTTCTCCTAGGGTATCCACATGGCTCTAGGGGGTAGGTTTACTAAATTCTCTACATGTGGTTGGGTTCTAGAAAAAGTTCCCGAGCCATCTTTACAACTTGCTAAGGTTGACTTCGATTCTGGCCCATTACAGACCTGCGAATCAGATTCGGCTCAGTGGATCAAACCGCTAAAAGTGTGTCTCAGAACTGATATCCGGACAGGCAACTTAGGATGCTTTCAAGAGATACTTTATCAGACCCACACAAGGAAGCCCAATGCTCCTCATGAGATGTGACGTTTCTCCTTACTTAGGTAAACTGGAATTAATCTCGGGTTTAGAGTTATGATATGCAACAATCCTAAATAATTTCACGGAAGTGTAAGCATTAACCAGAGAGAAAATCTCTATTTTCTTTTGAAATAACATAATAAACCGTAAATTAAATAAGATCGAACTCACAATTTCCAGAACCTAAATATAGGGTAACCAACTCGTGGTTCGACTCTCAATTTGTTTAAAAAACAAAACCTTCCCAGCATAATCGCCAAGCTGCTGACACCATTTTTGCCCGGGCGGGGAAAGACCTGTAGCGACTTGGGGGTTTTTCTTTGAAAAGAATTTTGAAATGCGAGGAGTCGGCACCAATCATTTAAGGTGCGATTGGGACACCATAAAAACCGAGTAATTTTAATAAAACATTTTATTTTTATCAAAATACCAAGTTTTAAGGTCTGCGAAAATCCAGAAATCAGGTTCGGGAGTCAGTTTCGCGTGGGGAGGGATTAGCACCCTCACAAGCGCCCAAAAATTGGTACCTAGTTGATTACCTTATATTTAGAATCATAAATTTTGAGTTCGAACTTTATTTAATTTAAAAAATCATTACGGATGCAAAGTTAAAAAGGGTATTTGTTTATTAAGGCTTATAGCAATCACCCCATAGCATAAATGCGGGAGATCAGTTATTGTGGCCGATAACCGAATATTGCCTCGATATTTTAGAAATCATGATGTGGTTTTGAAAATGATGTCGACCTATTTCGGGAATCACCAGTAGTCACCCCCTGAACGTACTTGCGGGAGATATACTATTAATTCCCTAATAAATGAACATTGCCTTAAATTTAAAAATAAAATGCAATCAAACAAATTTTTATTCATCCTAATTAAGCTAAGGGTAAATTAAGGCTTTTCTAGCTTAAAGTGTCGAATTATGAAAATTAAAGAACCTACTGTAGGTTCTAATATTAACCTTATTTGATTTTTAAACTAATTATTGAATCAAATAACCGAGATGGTCCATTGAGCATTTAAGCGAGGGCTGGCTCGAATTATTCCCTAATTTAAGATGACTATATTGAAATCTAGCTAAAAGTGGATGCTCTATTTAACCTATGTGATTATGTCAATCTTAAAGGTCTAATCAAAGTTAGGGACTAAAAAGTTAAAGATCTAAAACAATGAGTTCTAAGAGACTAGAAGTTTAAAGACCTAAATCAATAATTTCTAAAGTTTGCGGACTAATTAATAAACCAAAATTCTAAGTATTACTAAATTAGCCTATTAAAAGGAACTAAGCCTAAAGTGGTTTTTTAGAAAATATTGATGATTAATAAATTTTAAAAAGTCGAGCAATCGATTCGAGTAATCAGACATCTTATGCGAAAACTTGTCTCGAATTGCTCCCTAATTAATAACTAGGGTGTCATCTTAATTTCTAAGTCTGATTTGAGTGTCAACCTAATCTAAGAGAGAAATCTAAAGCTTAAAACTATGATGTATCGAAACGTTTAATAAACCTAATTAAAAAAAAAGGAAACACAACATAAAAATAAAAATAAAATAATCATAAATATAAGGACCAAATTGCATGAATATCAAATTACTAAGCTAAAAAGAATAAATTAGACATATAATAGGGGCTAAATTAAAACAAATTGAAATTAAATGGCTAAATCTAAATGAAATATAAAAAATAGTTTAGGGACTAAAATGCAAAAATATGCGAAAACTACAGGGACATAAAGATAATTATCCACTTTATTTAAACCTAAAAATAACATGTTAAACTAAAAATGGAACAAATACAAAATCAGTCCATACGAATTAAAATAAAATTAAAAGGGTCACTACACCTGACTAGAGTGTAAAAACAAGCCTAACTTACAGGGACCAAACAAAGAATAACCCAAAAAAATAAAAAACATGCAATTAAAGGGAAAATTACAATTTTAAACCCTACACATAACTAGAATGCAAAAACATGCTAAAGTTAGAGGGATTAAAACGCAAATAACCCCAAAAAATAGGCAAGCTAGGAAAAGGGAAAATAGTAGTTTTGGTGCCTACATGTGACCAAACTGCAAAAACACGCTAAAACTAGGAAGACCTAAACGTGATTTTACCCTAAATTTCTTCTATATGTATCAACTATCTTTTTTTTATTTCATTTTAAACCAAAACCAAAAAAATAGAAGAAAAAAATCAAATTCTCTCCCCTTTCCTTCAGTCGGCAGCCTTAAACCCTCTTCGATTGTCATTCCGGCCACCGTACACAGCGGTTGGAAAACCCAAAATACCCCAAAAACACAGATCTACCCTTCTAGGATCTAACTTAGGGCTTAAAACCACCGAGACCTCCCCTAAAATACCCGAAAAAACAACCTAAACACCTCGGCTTCCCTAGACTCTGGCGACACCTCTCCGACTCAAGTAACACTCTGATCTAATATTTCTTTTATTTTATAGCATTTTTTACTGTAAAAGTGGTTGGCTGTGGTTATTATGCCTAAAAAGATTTCAGTTTTTTTACTTCTTTTCGAAAATAAAAGAGCTTCCACTTTGTTATTACAATTTTTTTAAACAAAACTAAAACTTTGTTCATTCGAAAGCTAAAAAAACCTTTTTTATTTACATAGGTTCGAAACTAGGAACAGAGAAAAACACAAAAAAAACTACTCGAAGTTAAAAGAAGAAAAATAATAACCTTGAATGTAATTTATTGCTTCGAAAAAAAGTCAAAGTTACAATGTTTTTCCAAAGAGTTTTTCTACCTTTAATGCATGGGTTTTATACCCATTTACAATGGAAAATGAAATGATAACAATTTTGTTTCTTCTTGTTTGTTTTTTTATGCAGGGTAGAGTTGAGTGTTGGGGCTGCCGGCGTGCGTAGGTGATTTTGTTGGCATTGGGGCAGAGAAAGGTGTCCACTGGTTGGGGGAATTGGGTGGCTACCCTAGGGTAAGGTTAGACCCGAGTCGGGTCTAATTTGGGCACCGGGTCGGGTATTTTAGATTGGTGAATTTCTCGAAAAATCACCCTAAACTTTTTTTATTCCCTATAAGGCATCGTTCAGACTTTATTTCCTGATCTAACATCCTTTGCAGAAAGGCGCCCCCCTGCGGCGCGCCTTACGCCACGTGGGGGTATGGCGCGCCCCTTGAAGCGCGCCTTGTGGAGCGTGTAAAAAATCAGGTGTTAATTTTGTAAATATTTTTATAATTGTGCACTAATATGTAATTAATTTATGTTAGGGTGATATTTGTGTAAAAAAGTCAACTTTATTTATTTATAACTTTCTACATTAAAATCTTTAAATATTCTTTTGCAAATTATTTTATAACTCGACAAATTTTATTTTTGCATGAAATTACACAATATGTATAATCTAGTATAGGAAAACTTTGATGGTAAATATTTTAAAATATGAATAACTTTATAAAAGTTTTATAACTAGTATTTCTTTTTCAAAATGATGATGATGATAATAAATATTTTATAATTTAAAAAATATAAATTTTATATATTTTTGAAAAAAAATGACTTTATATTCTTTTTGTATTAAATTTTATTCACTTTTAATTCTTTTTTATTGCACTTTTATTGATTTTTAAAAAAAATGAATAATAATTCATTTGATCTATCAATTGTAATTAAAATTTTATTTTAATATTTTTATATTTTTAAATAATTAATATTAAAAGTCAATAAGCATTATTAGCTGTTAAAAAATAATATCACAAAAAAAAAATCAATAAAGTTTACGTTTTTATTGAATTTTATTCACTTTTAATTCTTTTTTATTGCATTTTTATTGATTTTAAAAAAATGAATAATAATTCATTTGATCTATCAATTGTAATTAAAAGTATAAAAATGCAATAAAAAATAATTAAAAGAGAATAAAATTCAATACAAAAAGAATATAAAGTCAAAAAAAATAAAAAATTTATAAAAATTTAAATTATAAAATATTTATTATCATCATCATCATTTTGAAAAAGAAATACTAGTTATAAAACTTTTATAAAATTATTCATATTTTAAAATACTTACCCGCAAAATTTTCTTATACTAGATTATACGTATTGTTTAATTTCATGCAAAAAT